CCTTATCTTTAGTATGATTGTAGAGGAGCACGCTGAGCACGTGAAAACAATGCTAGATCTCCTAAGGCAGCACCAGTACAACGTCAACTTGGAGAAATGTGATTTCGGTCGCATCATGATCTTGTACCTGGGTCATGAGATTTCCGCGGATGGGCTGAGGCCAAACGATGCCAAAGTGGCCAGCATACGTAACTGGCCCAGACCTCAGACTCTTATTGAGGTCCGGTCGTTTTGGGGGATGACGGGCTACTATCGTCCGTTTGTCAACTATAGCTTCCCCATTAACCGACCTAACCCTCCTTGACACCGCTTGGGCGTGGACCGAAGAGTGTGAAGCAAGGTTCAAGAAATTGTAGTATGCCCTGACACACTATGAAATCCTCAAACTTCCAAATCCTGAGCAGCCCTTCGTAGTGACCACAGACGCCAGCCAATATGGCAGAGGCACGATCCTTGCGCAAAAGGAGGGGAAAAAGTTGAGGCCCATCGAGTACATGAGCAAGAAGATGCCATCTCATAAGTTAGCGAAGTCCACGTATGAGCGTGAGCTCTATGCCCTCTATAGAGCGCTGGTCCACTGGAGACATTATCTCCTAGGCAGACTCTTCTATTTAAGATCTGACCATGAGACTTTGCGCTGGATCAAGACTCAGCCTGTACTCTCAGATGCACTCAAAAGGTGGATCCAAGTGATAGACATGTATGACTAGCAACTTGACCCGATAAAGGGAGAGTATAACAAAGTGGCTGATGCATTATCACGTAGGGCGGATTATCTGGGTGCGCTAGTGACTGAGTTTGGAATATCTGAATATGTAACTCGATCTTTGGTGGAGGCCTATCGGGAAGACACAGTTATGTCAAAAATCAGCCGTAAGTTAGAAGCGAAAGATAAAAACTTCTGACGAATTTACGGTGGCCAATGGCTTGCTGTTCCTTGAAAAGGTTGGGAATAAGAGATTGTGTGTTCCAGATAAAGAGTTTTTGCGTAGTTTGTTTTTAGGAGAGTGTCATGATGCAACTGGGCAGTTCGATTATACAAGGACATCAGCTAACCTAGTGCAAAGATTCTGGTGGCCTTCTATGATGCAAGATGCAAAAAGGTACGTTGAAACCTGCCAGGTTTGCCAACGGGACAAACCTAGGACTCAGGCTCCGCTTGGGCTTATCAAGCCCTTGCCGATTCATGAAGGTCCTGGTCAGAGTGTGTCCATGGACTTCATGGATACTCTTGTGACCAGCAGGAGTGGAAAGACACATCTTCGTTATAGTGGACCGGTTTTCCAAGTATGTAAGACAAATCGCTATGCCAAAGACTGCTAAACTGACTACGTCATCAGATTGTTTATGGATAACTGGGTATGGGACTTTGGTTTACCCAAGTCCATAGCCAACGACAGGGATGTCCGCTTTACAAGCGAACCGTGGCAAAACACTGCCCAACAGATGAGTACCAGACTGCAGATGACGTCAGGGAATCACCCTGAGTCAAATGGGCAGGCGGAAAAGATGGTCCGAGTAGTGCAGCACATACTAAGGCATTACATCAAGCCAAGTCAGGATGACTGGGACGAGAAATTGCCTCTGGTCGCCAGCCTATACAACAGCGCTGTGCACAGCACTACTAACATGACTCCCAACGAACTGCATCTTGATTGGAAGCCCAGCTCCGCCCTTGATTTCCTACTGCCTGAGAACTATTCAACTGCAGCACCTGGCAGCATGGAATTTGCTGTCAAGTACGAACAGAAGCTGCAGCAGGCCGTTGAACACATTAGGAAGTCTCAGGATGCTATGATTGCATCTGAGAATAACCCCGATAGCCTTCTAACTTGCAGGTAGGGGACAGAATCACATTAGGAAGTCGTCTGAACTGGGACAGGAGTTGGGAATCTCCAGAAAAACTAATGCCGCAGTATTTCGGTCCTTGAGTGGTCCTAGACATAGTCGGGGATCAGATAGATGGACCATCCTATGTGATTCGCATCCCTGCTCAACTACACACACACCCAGTATTCCACGGCTCAAAGCTGGCACCTTTCGCAGAAACTGCACAGTTTCCCTCCAGACAATCAATGCTGCCCCCAACCATGGATGGCGAAGTCCCCATCGATGACATTGTGGAGCATCGACGCAAAAACCTCAACAGCGCTTTGTGCCTAAACCTCCCGTCAGAGGCCGACCTCCAAAGCCAAGGATGCAATACCATGTCAGATTCAGACACCATATTGATCCCGATGAAGATCGGTGGTTCACTAGAGAAGAACTCGAGCGAACGGCGCCGCAAGTGATTGCCAGCTACGAAAGAACACTCAAGGGAAATATTCCTGCAGATTAAGGAACTTCGCAGAGGACTATCGAAGAAAAGGCGGGAATGGGAGGATAAGGCTCCTCGGCAGGCCTAAGAAACCCCTGATGCAAGTGTGCCCGCCCTAAGTGAAGGCAGGCCTAACAAATCACGAGAGGCCCAATGTTGTCAATTTCGTATTTGGGGTTCAAGCAATTGTGGCGCGTCAGTTGGTTGAGGGAACGCAGGACCGGAGCTGCAAATATTTTCCACGGCCTTATGGGCCTTTTCTGAAATGCAGGCCCTGGGCAAGAATTGCAGCATCATCCACAGACAGTTGGGAGGCACAAACGAACATGGCCCAACAGCTGCAACAGAGGCCCAGCCACTTGGGGCCTACCGGAAGCTTCTGGGTGCAGGCCCAGCCCAGCGAGGCCGCAGGGCAGGCAGACTCTTTCCATATACGAAAGAGCTCGCCGCCTGGACGGGCATTCAACCACTTGCCAGTTTGCAGCAGCGCTGCTGGAGCGGACGCTCGTGGGCTTCTGCTAGCGTTAGGGGCACTTCCGTGGCTGCTGATGTCAACAGTTGCATTGTCAATTCATAGGCAGATAGTAGCTGTGTTGGGGAGTAGTCTGGGCGCCGAGCGCCAAGTCTCTGGTGTTGGTGATGACGAGAGTAGGCTCTCATTGCCGTTCTTTTGATTCTCAATTGGTGTAACACTGGTGCATTACTGCTTTCTGTACACCGTGAGACTTTCTGGCCTTCAATGTGATCGTGTAATCTGGATTCTGTCACCTCGCTATTGCTCATTTTCCTTGCATCAGAGCGTAAGTGTGGAAAAACGAGCCCAGCATCGGCCTGAAGGGAATGGCTCTGGAGACAAAAAGCCCACAGAAAGACTACCTTTAGTCAAATATATACCTTGACGGCGTCAAGTTTGGGTATGAAATTATGAATCAGTTCTCAAGTCGGATTGGAATTAACAAGAGATGGCGAGAAATTATCAATTTAGATCGTGATTGTTGGATCGACATTCCTTGCGCACAGTAGTTGTTAATAAAAAAACTGGTGAACCAATGGCTGCACAAGGAAAGGAAACACTTCTGCGCCACATACTGACAGTGTACCGGAAGACATAGTCCACTGCCTGCTGACATGTGCTGAACGGACCCGGTTCTGGGACCGGATCAAGAAGCTATGGGGCTCTGGCCCCCGCACCTCTTCCCTTATCTCCATCCTTTTGTCTAATCTCCCCAAAGCCCTGATTGGGGCCAGGATGAGCTGTAAACCGCTTTGTGGACCATCTGGAAGAGGACATGTCTGACGGGGCTGAGGCAACGAGGCTGGGAGAGAGAGGGAGAGAGTGAGAGCACACACACACACTCACTCAACTCGATGCAGACTCGACACGACTCGACGGACGCAGACACAAAGTGGCAAAGTCCCAAGTCGAAGTCTTGGATTTCCGAACACAATGTCGAAGCAAGTCACCAAAGCACAAGTACAGCAGCAGAAAACTGGTACGAGACTGGTACAGAAAACTGGTACGAGACTGGTCACCGTACCATGCGGGGAGCCGGTATAAGTACCGGTGACACGTACAGTACCAGGGGCATTTCTGCAAAGGCCCCGAGGGCAGAACTGAAAAATGCGGTATTTGAAAGTGGCGCCCGAATTGCAGCATGGCGCCAGTTGTCCAAAATCCTACGGTACCAAAGGGGGGGGGTCGGAAAAAGGGTGCCAGGCCGAAAACGGGACGCAGCCGAAACAGCAAAAAGATAGACCAGGGATCGAGGCTTGGCGGAGTCCGTAACAACATGATCCCAGGCTATCAAAAAGGAACGTAACACGAGGGAGGAAGCTTGATTCCAACTCATCAGATTGGTGGAGAGTCTGGAGACCGAAATCCAGTGCAGATGGCATACAGTAAAACTCTCAACCAAGATCAAGCCAGACAAGTTCAGGTTGACGGCAAAACTGTGTTGAAAGAAATGAATCAGGCCCAAGATGAGTGACAGCTATCTATGTGAATGGAAGCCAACAGTATTTCGAGCCCAAAGATCAAGTGGATCTGCATCCTCTTGTGCAATACAACCTCATTCAGATATACAATTAGTATCAATCCAGCTAGCTGCCAAAGTCGGCCTTCTACAGTCGATCAACTCTATATCGGACATGCCCAGGGCAGCTGAGTCTGAGAGGATATGTAAAGAGCAAGACTTTCTGACAGTCAATCCCCCTCCTGCCAAACGGAAGGAAGCGTCAAGTGGGCTCATCTATGTATTCTTATTCCACTTGCTGGTGGCCGGGAACCTGACTGATGCTACCCACAATGGATAAGGCCCTGTTTATTTCCCCTTTTTAATCAAAACACAAGCACAACAGTTCAGAATATTCAATATTGTAGTGCAGTAAATTTGCAGACCATCCAGGGATACAAGAAGAACAGGAGAGTAAGTAGATATGGATGAGTGATACAGCCTGACATGGAGATTATTATTTCCGTGTGAGGCCACACAGTTGCCCAGGATGAGGCACATGCATTGTTGAAGTTCGAAGTACGCATGTGGAGTGTTGGCAGAACAAAAGAGTAGACAGACAGGGTGGGAAAAAGACACAATGCAGCATCAAGGTCGTGCCCACCAGGGAGAACAAGTGTAGACAGGGTGGGAAAAAGGCGCACATATTGCAGCATCAAGGTCATACCCACCTGGTTCAGAAGTAACCTCTCCTCATTTCTAAGCCGCACCATTCTGCCAGGCATTCGCCACAGTCTGACAAGAGCCTGAAAGACATCCCGATTGCAGCAGAGCCACTCAGGCATTAACTTCACCAGTGTGGTGATGAGAGCAATCCCTTGAAACTGGGATTCATGAGCAATTCCAGCAGCTGCAGAAACCGCTCCTGGACCACCTGTCATGCCCAGAAGCCCATCAGCCATTAAGTTTGGAAGTCCCATTGTCGAGCTGCCTGTTGGACTCCCTAGTGGCCCTCCCATCATGCCACCAGCCATTGTCTCATCCAGCATAGCCCCTGCTTGCAGTTGAGGGAATGCATGCATGATAATCTTTCCTGGTGACCGTGCAAGCTCTTCCCGCAGCTCTTTCCCATCATCAGAGCGAATGATGTCCAGAAACCTGTGGGGGAATATCATGCCAGGAAACGCAGGTTATGGAACGAGGAAAGGCCATTCGAACAGCAGCCAGTTAAAAAAATATTTCAAAACAAAGCATTTCTGACTTTGATATTTGCAGTCACTTCTACAAGCAAAAGGACAATGATAAGCAGTTCAGAATTGCGAGAAAGTACGGATCACTGTTTTTCACCCACTACTCATTTTCCATCATCGTCACACATACAGTGACATACCCCAAGAGAGAACTGAAGCACAGAACGCCACACGCTCTCCCCCGTGTAACAGATGTTCACCAGACAAGGACTGGAGCTCGGACCTGTAAACCACTGAAGAAGCATCATGGAAATGGTAATGGATAGTGCGGAAAAATAAATGGAAGAGAGAACAGAAGTGCCTCTTGGACAATAGTTAAGCAACGACAGCAATAACAACCAAAAAAACAGACGACAACGAAGAAGAAGAGTGGAGAAGGAGAGGAAGGAGAGGAGAAAAGAAAAGGATGAGAAAGGAGCAATAGGAGGAGATGGAGGAGGAGGAGAAAGGTGAAAGGAGGACGAAGGAGAACAAAGAAAGACAAGAACAACAACAGAAAGGAGAAAGGAGGAGAAGCAGGAGAAGAAGAAAGGAGGCAGAGGAGGATAAGGAGGAAAAGGAGAAAAAGGAAAAGAAAAGGATGAGGAAGGAGCAAAAGGAGGAGATGAGAGGAGGAGGAGGAGGAGGAGGAGAAAAAGGAGAAAGGAGGAAGAAGGAGAACAACGAAAGACGAGAACGACAACAGAAAGGAGAAAGGAGGAGAAGCAAGGATAAGAAGAAAGGAGGCAGAGGAGGACAAGGAGGAAAAGGAGAAAAAGGAGGACGTTGGAGAAGAATATGAAGAAACGGAAGAGACGTGGGAGAAGAAGAAAGGAGGAGGACAAGGAGGAGGTTGGAGAAGAATAAGAAGAAATGCAAGGAGAAGAAAAAGGAGAGAGAAAGGAGTAGAAGCAAGAGAAGAAGAAAGGAGGCAGAGGACGAAGAGGAGAAAAAGGAGAAATTTGTAGAAGAATGAGAAGAAATGGCAGGAGAAGAAAAAGGAGAAAGAAGGACAAAGATGCAAAAGAAGCAGAAAGAAAGAGAAGGAAAGGACAAGAACAGAGGAGGAGGAGAGAAAGGATGGGAAGGAGAAAGAAGCAGAACGAGAAGGAGAAGGAGAAAGAAATAGGAGAAAAAAGGAGAAAGGAGCAGAAGGATAACAAGGGAATAGAAAAGGGAAAAAGGAGGAGAGCGAAGGAGAAAGGAGGAGAAGGAGAGCAAACAGAAGAAGAGAGGAGAAAGAGAAGTAAAGAAAGGGGGAAAAGGAGAACGGAAGGACGAAAAAGAGGAGGAGAAAGGAGAAGAAGAAAAGGAATGGAGGAAGAAAGGGGGAAAAGGAGGAGGAGAAAGGAGAAGAAGAAAAAGAATGGAGGAGGAGGAGAAAAAGAAGAAAATGGAGAGAGGAGGAGGAGGACAAAGAAAGAAAGAACAGGGAGGAGGAGAAGGCGAAGACAAGAGGATGAAAGGAGAAGACGACAAAGATGGAGAGGATCAAGAAGTTGCCATCGAAGACGAAGATGAAGCCGAAGACAAAGACAAGGAAGGAAAGGAGGAGGAGGAGGAGAAAGAGGAGACAGGAGGAGGACAAAGAAAGAAAGGAGGAGGAGAAGAAGAAGACGAAGACAAAGAGGACGAAGCTAGGAGAAGACGACAAAGATGGATAGGATTAACATGTTGCCAAAGAAAACAAAGACAAAAGACGAAACAAAGACAAGACAAAGACAAGACAAAAACAAAGACGAGGAAGAAGAAGAAAACAATGATGACGAGAATAACGGCGACGACTACGACCACGAAGAAGAAGAAGAACGGCTCACAGAAAAGAGATGATCTTCGTTCGACGAACCTGCGGAAAAACTCCGGATATTCAAGACGGGCAAGGAAGTAGTCAACAGCATCACTTGGATATTTATTAAGGAACTTTGTCAAGGGGACACGATATGGAGAATTCAAATCGCTGTCAATTGTCCCTGGCGGAAGAGCGGCTTCCAGACTGATAGTGAGTGACACGAGCTGGTCCAAGAATTTCGACGCCTGAGGGGGTAGCAAATGGAACAGCTCAATGATCCCTGAAGACACACAAATTCACAGCCAAACAAATGAAAAGAAGAAAAACAATCAAAGAACCTAGTTTTTCGTTACGTTACTTGGTCCGCAGCAGCGGGGTCCGCTCGGCCACTGCGGACAGGCCAGAAAGTGTGAAAGAGTCTTTGTTTTTTCCGTTCTGATTGTGTGGTATGACTGAGATTGTCAAGAAGATGCAGGATCCACCCATTTAGCTTTTGAAAACTTTGAAGTCGAGTCTGGGTGAGGTTTGAGTTGGTGACGAGCGCTGGGTAGGCAGACAGTGAAGAGGAGGAATGGAAGAAGAAGAAGAAGAAGACAGCAGAGGAATAGAGATGGAGGAGGAAGATTAGGAGACCATAAAAGATGGACAGAAGAATAAGAAAGAAGAAGAAGAAAGAAGAGAGGGAACAAAGAATAAGGAAAGAAGTAAAAATGAAGAAGAAGAAGAAAAATGATAACGAAGAAGACGAAAGGACAGGGGTCAGAGGGGATTCAAGGCTACTTCATTTCTATCTTGAAAATACAACACCCTGGGCCAAAAGGTTGTCGTACTATCATTTTACACGTCTTTTTCGGATTTTCTTGAATTTCCATTTTCTTTGTTACCACCCCGGATATCCAGGTTTCTCCCAGCTGACCAGGATGTCCATCTGGACATCCCGGCCATACATCCACCTGGAGGGTTTTTGTCCGGCCCACTGCCCAAGGCAAAATATACATCAACACACCGTGTCGCACCAGGGGCATCACCCGGCTTAGGCTTAGCAAAAGAGTGTGAATGGCCCGGATGTCTGTAGCCTAACTTCCAATAACTTCGTGCAGGGAGTGCGGGGCGCCTTGCCTGTGCCTTGCACGCAAGCGTCCACACAAGCGGAACAAGTCAAACCCAACCGGTTCCGGCTGCCCAGGGTGTATCATAGGTTTTTGGACAACAGAGGTATCCCACGACCGTCATCACCCAAATAGAACGCACAGTCATTACAGCTGTATTTGAGGTAACTGAACGCATTATAACTTTAGTTGTATTTGGGTCAACTGAACGCATGGTCATTGCAGCCGTATTCGGGGCAACTTATCAGTTTACATACAGCAATAACGACTGCCCGTTCGGGTGATGACGACCGAGCGCAGGGCATACAGAAATGCTGTGATAATCTTACCCAAAGAAAGCCCCAAAGGAGTATATGACGTGATTGCTAGAATCCAGTCTATTGCAATCTACTTCAATGTAACACCATAGCGAAAATGTCGTCGCTAGTTTTCACATACCGTACAGACATCCGGCAGTTATTTCTAATCCAGTGGAGAAACGCTTATGCCAAGTAACATGCAATGCAGCCACCTCCATATCTGCAATCTACGGCCAGATTTCAGGGGGAGTTCCTTCCCCTGTAGTTGACGCAACAAGTGCACTCTCTTCACTCCCAGATGTGCTAGCTCCGCCCAGGTATCATGAAAATCATGTGCAGCACTAAACACTTGGCAACACGAACTGCAGAGGCAGGTTTATATGCTATCCTCACCTGCGGCAATCTTAGCCTCTTCTCCAGGCTTCCACGATTTCTGAGTCTGCGCTAGCTTTTCCGGTTCCAGCCACTTCTTCAGGTGGTCCATCAGCTTCTCGCCAAGCTGCACGCTGAACCACACAGACAAGAGCTCAAGTAACCTTGCCAGACCCTGAAGCAGTGGAAGCGTCAAATTCTTACATTGTGCCAGATTCACCAGAATAGGTCTCAAACTGTTCTGCATCAGTTCCTTGGACAGCAACTTGTAGTTGATGACCTGCAAGGATAAACAGGGGAAAGAACACCAAACCAACCCACAGATCAGGTATCAAATACTCGTATACATTCCGTCTGGATGCTTGGTACACACATCCGACTATTAATGAACCAATCTGGGTGCAAACACTAAGGATACCCCCTTAAACCTCAGTTGTCAAGGAAAGGAAAGAGCCTCATCTTACATGCAATGCTCATCGTCATTCTCTCACTTGACCCATCTCAAATGACACACCTACCCTCTTCCCCTGGATAGAATGTACAGTCATTATCACTGTATGTAGACCGAAAGTCGCCCCAAATACAACTATAATGACCATATATTGTCACATCACTACAAACTAAAAGAGCGCACTTTGCGGAACAAAGAATAAAAGCAAAAAACGGGCACAGTGATAACATGCAAAAATA